CTTTGAACTCTCTCCTCCTTCCTCAGCTTCCCAAGCCTCTGGGATTATAGGCATGCACCATCGTGCCCAGATGTGCGGTGTATTTAATGGAACAGAATTCTCAAACTTAAGGCTTCTTTGGTAACAGATCTAAAGTGCATTGAACCATTTGTTAGTGTTTTTTCATGACGAATGTTGTGTAAAAAAATCTTGCTGACAGAGAATGGTACATTTTCTTTTCTCTCCTTCTAATCCTTTCTCTCTTTTCCCTCCCCTTTCTGCAGTTCTGCTAAGCCAATATTCTCTAGAATGAGCACAAAACAAATCAAATAACAGCTAAACAAATCGAATAACAGCTTTTGTACATCAACATCAAGAAGGAAGACTCTTGGGAGAGATCAGAGTCCAGTGATGAATATGGATCTAGATCTGCAGAGATGGAAGTGATTTTCTGGAGAGAGACATGATCATGGATTAAACACCAGCTCATTGGAAAACTGTCATTGAATAAGATCAGATAACATTCATGAAAAATCATATTCAGGAAATATTTTAAGGAGGAGGAATATAAATGTGCTAGAATTAACATGTAAAATACATATGTACTGAGGTTTGTAAACTGTCCTTTTTTAATCAAACTGAAAACAAAAAGCTTTAATCTTTCAATACCATAAAAAAAAAAAGGGCAGTTAGTTCTAGATTATTCCTATCTCAATAGCCACGAGGCTGATCAAGTGTCATTTATTGAGGAAGCATCTTAGGAAATGCCTCTGACCTTTGGTTTTTCCATCCCTACTTCTCCTTTATTTCACTGTGTAATTAGTTACAACCACTCAGTTACTAAGAGATTTAACGCTTCAAACTTTTTACCAAGTCTGTGTTCAGTTTAATGTGTCTATACAAGTTATTACTGAGAAAGTGTTTCTGACATATACTATTACTCTGTTGAGCTGTATATTACAGGAAGTACATCTTTACATCATAGTTTCCCAAGCAACATACGTTTCCCAAACTGTCAGGAAATGGCATCAAGGAACTCTGAAAAACATAGAAAGCTCATTTTCACCTTAGATGCTCACATGTAATATATAGGCTGCTATCAAATAAACACTTTTTTCTAATTCTCCCTAGTATATGCATAGGAATTTAATATACTTTATAAATAGATATCTAAAATATCTGATTTTTTTTTCTATTTCTTTGCCCTTCATGTCATCAGAAATCCATATCCTTTATTTCCTTTACTGACAGGTATTCATTTTTGTTTCTTTTAATTATTTCATTAAACCTATTTCTAAATGATAGTAAGTGGTACTAACAAAATAAATAATAATTTAATAGCCTTAGAAATAAATGACTATATACTTACACAGGTCAAAGAAACTTGGTAGGAATAAGTTACCTTTTTATTAATATTGACTTCAAAAATCTTCAAATTTTCTTTAGTTGGCTGGGATTTGGAAGTAGTTATAGCTAACCAGTTGTCTTCAACAATCTTTTGATCCCAGGTTCCCCCCCACCATAACGTACTGCCCTCATGACATACCCTGCCACTATTCAACAACAGAGAAATATTTAATAATGGAATAGCCAATTACCTGAGAAAGAGCACAAGCACATGCAGGGTTACCCAGTGGAAGCCAACTAATGTTCTATACCTAAGCAGAAAACTCAGATGTATAGAATGCCTTCACTCATGGGCTCAGAACTAAGATCCAGTCAGCATATATTGCTGGAACATCAGAACTGACGTGGATCAGGATTGACCTCCTTACCCTCTCTCTAGGACCACATTCTTATTTTAGCCAGATGTCTCTGGTACTGGTCATCTTTTCACCACAAACAGGATCATCTCTCAAATGGCTAAAAGTATATTATAGGTACACTGAAGTAGGTGAAACCCAATTCACAGAGATATGGTTTTCCTAAAGAACCAAATTAAGGGAATACTAGTGTCTGTAACTAAAGTGTTAGTCATTCTGGGGGTTATTTGTTGCGTTAAGTATTAGCTGTCCTGTTGCATTCAGAACACCTTACTTACTAAATTTAATTACACACAACTTTTCAAGAATTCATCTTTTATTTAAAGGGAGGTATCTCTCTACTTTATCTACAATAAAAGCAGAAGGTATTCGCCTTCTCTAATCTATGTAAATTACAGATCCCATCAGGAGTCCTACACCACCAATAGTGGTGTTAACAAAAATGAAAAAGTACTTCCTATCCACATACAAATGTTTTTTTTAAAAAATCTTTGCCATAAAACCTAAGTGTAATTTAACATCACACAGTGCTATGAAGATGGGTCATTGATGATGTACCATTGTACATAGATAATACACATGTAAATCACTAAATGTTAATTAAGTATAAGAAGTATGTTTTTATCTTTTTAAAAGAAAAGTGACTCCCTTTCTCATTCTGTTCTGTTGTATTACGTCCAAAAGTTGTGTGTAATTTTTTTAAGGTCCAGGAAATGTAAAGAAATTTGTTGGAATATCTGAATTTCTGTAAAAAATAAAAATAAAAATAAGATTTTGTTACTTAAAGGAATGCCTGGTGATGTGGTACACATTTTGGTACATTTGGTTTCCGTCTTTGCCCAGCGTGAACTAATGGCTTGATTCACATAACTATCTTCAGAAAATCTTCTTGCTGCTACATTCCATAATAGTTGCCAACAACAGACATTTAATGTATTAGCTATGCAGAACCCTCATGTAGAGGGCATGCCCAACATTTCAAAGCCTCTTCTAGCCAAATATAGACATACCTCCAGCCAATTCTTTATACACTCAGTAGAATGAAATTGAAAACTAAGAAAATAGCTGGACTGCTCAAGCAAAACTTGACCTGAAGTATCCAACTGCTCAATCTCCGTGCCACAGATTGAAAATAGCCACTTGTTCCTCAGACATGAGTAACTCTTGTGCAATAATTCATACTGAGTATAGGTTGTCCAGATGATTTTCAATCCCAGATGCTCTGTTTATTGTAACTCTAAACCTCAACATCTTCATCTGTAAAATGGTTATAAATAACAATACCCAGCCACACAGCATTGTTGTGAGGAAATAGATTATAGTTTTGTGCTTGACAGGTTGGAGATATTCGATGAATGTTAATTCCTAATCCCTTCCCTACCTTTGTATGACGTTGAAGGAAGCAAAAAAAAAGCCTCTTCTCTCAAAATGCTGAAGATAATTGCAGAGACATTTATGAATAGGGATTGAAAATTCAAATGCACACAGAGCCATGTAGATAAGTAAATGAACAAAGCAAGCTGGACTGAGATAATAGGAGGTGGTAGAACTATGAAGCACTGAAGAACTGGATCCTATATAAAGGAAGTAAATAGCCAATACTAAGTTAATCATTCAACAAATATGTACTGATCCCTACTATGTGCCAAGAGCTGCTTTAAACCATGAGAGGATAGTGGTGCACAGACTCAGTCCTTGGTCTCGTCATTTTTTATGGTAGTAGGGAATTCCGACAACAAACAGGCTAATGTCAGCTAAAAGTAGGTCCCTAGAGAGAAGTATAATGTTATAAAGAAATGGGGAGGCTGGACAGGGATAGGCCTCTATGAGAAGGTAACATTTAAAGCGAAACCCCAATGATAAGAAGGAGTCAGTCATGTGGGGGAAAAAAAATAGTGGGGAAGGTATTCGAGACAGGGAGTCACTGTTTTAAAGCCAGGACTGAACTCAGCATGCTTGAGGCAAGGTGCCAGGTAGACAGCAATGTGTCCTGAGCCAGGAAGGATCTCTGGGCTTCATAGTCCAGGATAGTTTGCATTATTATTATTTAAGTGTGAAGAGAAGTCGTTGGAAGATCTTAAGAAGGAGCTGGGCACAATGGTGCACACCTGTAATCTCAGCAACTCAGGAGGCTGACACAAGTTCAAGGCCAACGTGGGTAATTTAGTGAAACCCTGTCTCAAAATTAAAAAAAAAATAAAAAGGGCTAGGGTTGGAGCTCAGTGGTAAAGCACCCCGGACTCAATACCCAGTACTGAAAGATTTAAAAAATAAAGAGGAGGGGCTAGGGTTATCACTCAGTGGTAGTATAGTTGCCTAGAACGTGTGAGGCACTGGGTTCAATCCTCAGCACCGCATAAATGTAAAATAAAAATATTGTGTCCACCTAAAAACAAAACATAAAAAAAAATAAATAAATAAATAAGGAAAGAAAGTGCTGGGAATGTCGCTCAGTGGTAGAACACTTGTCTGGCATGTGTGAGGCCCTGAATTCAATCTCCAATATCACCAAAATATTAATCCTTTAGGAACCTAAAGAACAAAAGTTACATCATTGAGGGCATGTCCTTAAAGGAGAATCTGGGACCCCTCTGCTTCCCTCGTTCCCTCCTTTTTCCAGACCCCATTAGGTGAGCAGTGCCATCATGCTAAGTAACCATGGAATAAAACCTCTGAAACCACAAGCCAATCTTTCCTTCTTTAAGTTGATGATTTCAGGTATTTTGTCACAATGATAGGAAGATAGGAAATTAACACTGGTGCAGAATGTTTATTATGCAGGGCTCTCAGGACCAACACCTGAGATAGGGAACCGGAGGAAATAAGAGAGACAGAAAGGGAATCTCAGGGAGGGCCTCAGGCCTCGGCGGATCCCACAGGCAGCCACAGAAGCTGAGGAGCCTTTCAGAGTTGTCCTGCTTTGTGGTGAGGGTTATATCCTGTACACGTTAGCATTTCCCAGTCACTGTATGTGGGCTGCTTGCCCCAGGAAGGGGGTATGACCTTGAGTGAGGCTCTCTTCAGCTCAAGGCAATTTCCAGCAAGGTCAGAGGCTGTTCGGTTGGACTCCCAGCCACTCAGGTCCTCAAGTGGGCCCTGGGTAGCACAAAACAATATATGCTACAGGTATGTGTGTTTTGGGAATATAAAATTGATGATGGATTGAATGTGGTAGATAAGACAGAGCTCCTAACTTTTTTTCTTTTTTTTTTTTTTTTTTTTTTTTTTGGATGGTGGTACATTGACTGAGAAAGGAGGAGCTGATCTGAGAGATGAAAATCCAAAATTTCTTTTGTGACATTGGATGGGCTGACATGATAAGTTTGAGATGTTAGAAATGTCATATTCTGCTGGACATGATGGCACCCACTTGTGTTCCCAGTTATTCATCAAGCTGAGGCAAGAGGATGAAGGTTTGAGGCCAAGGTTTTTGTCTCCGAAAAAAAAGAAAAAGCTGTAAAGGGCTGGGGGTGTTGCTCAGTGTAGATCACTTACTAGCATGCACCCAGGGGTTGATCCCCAATACGGCCAAAAAAAAAAAAAGTGTCGTGTTCTAGGAAAAAGTCGAGCCTAGAAACACACATTCAGCAGTCACAGCAAATAGGTGGCTTTTTTTAAAGATTTGAAACTGAATGTAATTACTTCGGGAGAGTATGCAAATAAAGACTAGGACCCAGACCAAGTCCAGAACACTTTTTCATGGTGAAACACGGGACAGAAGATCAAGAAGACTGGAAACTGGGATATCATGAAATATCAGAGTGGGGAAAAAAAATTCAAGTGCAGTGATTGTCAAATGCTGCTGAAAAGTCAAGACAAAAACAGAGTAGGGCTGGGGATGTGGCTCAAGCGGTCGCACGCTCGCCTGGCATGCGTGC